GTCATCAGCCAGGGGGAGGTCACCAGCCATGGGGGGTCATCAGCCATAGGGGTGTCACCAGCCATGGGGGGTCACCAGCCATGGGGGGGCAGATGCTGCTGCTTCAGGGGACACAGTGGGCACACAGGGCAAAGGGCAATGCCGGTGCTTTGGTGTTGCTGGCCTCTTTGGGACTTTCCATGGGGTATAAAGAAGCATCCCCCGAGGTTTTTCGGGGTGTGGAGCAGCATCCCCAAAAGTGGTGGGCCCCCTTTGTCCCTGCCACCACTGAGGAGCCGGATGGGATGTGGCACGTGGCCTCCCTTGCCATCGGTGCCTCCAGCCACACTGCCCATGGCTGGACATGTTTTTCCTGCCCCACAGAGGCACTGGGGACGTGGGGGGGGGGGCTCAAATATCCCCGGGGCTCTTCAGCCCCTCAGCAGGGGCGAGGGCCCCACCCCCCTGCCACTCTGCCTGGCCACTCGCCCTTCTCTGCAGGGCTGATGCTGAGATGCCAGCAGCTCCTCCCAGACCCCCGGCAGCCCCCCCAGGGGTGCAGCAGGGTGAGGGCACAGCCTGGCTTTAACCCAGGGCCCCCAGACCCATCCCTGGGTGTTTTTTCCCCAGCACTGTGCCCTGGGGTTTCAGATCCTGTTTGTACAGCTGTGCCAGCCCCCGGGCCCTGCGTGGGAGGCTGGAAAATGGTGTCACACAGAAGCAGGTGTCAGCACCCCTGCTCACACCAGGGTGCTTCCTCCCAGGGGCCACCCAGATGCCACCCCCCAGCCCCCCGGGGTAAACAAGGCCCTGGATGCCACCCCAGCTCCTCTGGGGACAGATTATTTTCCCCCCTTCCCTGGAAGGGGTTTGGGGTAACACTGGGCACCCCACAGCTGCTGGCATCCATGGTGGACCAGACCAACCATGAGCTCAGGAGAGCTGGGGGCAGCAGCCAGCTCTGTGCCCCTTAAGACCCCCAGACCATGTCACTTTTGTCAGAGCCCCCTTTTCCCCACATTTCAGTGGGGCACGTGGGGTCTGGAGCAGCAGGGAGGGTCCCACTTGGCCACTCTCCCAGGGGGATGGTGGCCAGGCTGACACCTCCCTGCTCCTTCCCACCTTAGATCCTCAACATGGAAGATGATGAGAACTGGTACAAGGCTGAACTGTATGGCTGTGAGGGATTCGTCCCCAAAAACTACATCAGGCTCAAGCCACACCCGTAAGTACCATCCCACCACATGGGGAAGGGGGCCTCAAACCCCACTCTGGTAGCACCCACCTGCACCAGGACATCCTGTCCCACCACCCATGCAGCAACCCCAACCACCCCGATGCCCAAAGGTCTGCCATGAGCCAGGGTAGCCCCAGATGTGGGGAAACTGAGTCACAGAGCAATGGGACAGCAATGGGGTCTGCCTGTCTGGTCACTCTGCCATTGCCACCACAGCCAGAGGGGACGAGCAGCAGCAGGGTGTCCACATGCCCCCAACACACAGAAATCCACCCCCTGAGCCGGGCTGCCCACTAAATACATGATAATTGGGGAACAACAAGGCGTTATGGGATTACAACTGCATTAGGCACAATCCTATTACAGTGTTATTAAAGCCCAGCATAATCCATCCAACCTGTGTTTTAGGTATCATTATCCCCTGGTAAATCATATTTAAATGCCACAGCAAAACCTGCTTAGGGCTGTGGCTGGGGAGCAGCAACGCGTGGGCTCGGGCAGCCCAGGGCAGATCCTGTTGCAGGAAAGCTGAGACAGGCAAGACAAGACCTCTTCCATAGAACACCTGGAGAGCTGGCACTGGGAGTTGCTCCATCCTAACATCTGTGACAATCTGAACAGGCAGCAGAGGGTCTCCATGGCCTGGAGCTCCCAAATACACAGGCTCAGCCTTGGCAGGGACGGGGACTCTGCCTTGTTTTGGAAGCTGCTGGTGGTGCAGGCAGGAAGGGCTTCATCCCAGCACAGAGGGGTTTCTGCTCTGCAGAACCCCTCCCCATAGTGCCCAAGGCATGGGGAACCGTGGGACATGGGGGGGAGTTGGGGGACCGGCAGCAAGGTGGGGGAAGAGGCAGGTGATGTGACAAGCTGGGTGACAGGATGCGGTCACAGCTGTGGGTGATGCTGCACAAACCCCGCAGGGAGGAGGCAGCACATGGGGACATGTCTGCACCCACAGTACCCTGAGGGCCCCCCCCCTCTGTGGCAGCACTGTGGAGGGGAGAAGGGAAGGAAGAAACTGCTCCAGGGGAGTCCCAGCCCCTTGGGAATCCCAAGAGGGACCCCAGTCCCACCAGCACTGGGGTTCTCAATGCCTCCACCCCGCGGGCTGGGGAAGCAGCACGGGGGTGTCCCCATGTGTCAAGGAGTTCAGGTGGCTGATCCTGGTGTCCCTCACAGGTGGTACATGGGCAGGATCTCCCGGCACCTGGCAGAGGAGCAGCTCCTCCAGCGCAAGCACCTGGGAGCCTTCCTGATCCGCGACAGCGAGAGCACTCCAGGGGAGTTCTCCATCTCTGTCAAGTAAGTGGCCTCGGGATGCTGACAGACACACAGCAGGGTGAGCAGGGGCCCCCCAGGGCTTTGGGGACCAAGGACATCAGGCCACCCTTCTGCATACTCTCTGCCATGGTCCTGGGGAAGAGGTGAGCACCCTGCCCTGTCCTGGGTGTCTCCAAGTGCCTGGGGGACTGCAGAGCCACGGCCCCCTCACAACCTCTCCCAGGGCCTTCATCTCCTTCCTCCCCTCTGCAGCCTCACACTCCTCCTGCTTCGTGCTCCCTGCCTGCACTCTGCCTGGGGTGCCCCTAAGTACAGTCCTGGGCCTGGGGTCAAGCTACAAGCACAGCCTGGAGGACATGGCCTGGAGAAACATGTTGCCCAGAGCATCCTCAGGGATGAAGGGACACAGCACCCCAGTGCCACAGGCCAATGGCTTTGGCAGCATTAGCCAGGGCTGCAGGAAGGCAGCATGCCCGGGGGCAGAGCCTGCCCTTGGGGTCCCTCAGCCCATCACTGCCCCTTCCCTGCCCGGGGCTGGGGCAGCAGAGCCAGCCCCAGGCCAGCCAAGCACTTTCTCACACTGCTAATCTCTAATTAAGCATTTAAGGGGTTTCTTGCCTGTAATGAAAGGGAGCCGTGTTCTGCCACCAGCATGGCCTGGTCCCTGTCCCAGGGCCCTGGCAGCAGCAGGTCCCCACAGTGGCCCCACACCAGCTCCATGCAGGGTACCCCAACCTGCCACCCTCAGGTACACACCAAGGGGGTGCCAGCACCATGAAATCCCAGCCTGCCCCATCCTCCTGCTGCTTGTGGGTCCCGAGGGGTGCTGGGGATTTGGGACCCCAGCCTTTGCAGTCACCTCCCATTATGTGCTGAGCTGAGACCTGTAGCTCTCATCAACATTCCTCAGGTGTGGCCCCTATTTGCTCCCTAGACAAATACACCCACCTTGCATGCGGCCAGTGCTCTGCCAGCCCTGAGCCCATGAGCATCCCACTGTACCAGGGCTGTGGGCACAGCCTTCACTTATGTGTGGCATGAGCTGTGGCAGGTCTCAGCTGCAGGTTTGTGTCACTAGCATGGTGGGGACCCTACCCACTGCCTTGCCAGTGGGGCCAGGAATGACACCAGTGTCACCATCACCACTGGGTGTAGTAGGACCTGTGGGCACAAGACTTGGCACAGCCCCCCCAGAGAACCAGTCCAGCCCCTGGGGTTTGCAGGAAGGGGATCTGGGTGCTGCCAGCATCCAGGGGCTGGGATAACCTCCATCCTCCATCTGCAGCTACGGGCAGCAAGTCCAGCACTTCAAGGTGCTGAGGGAGAGGAATGGCAAATATTACCTCTGGGAGGAAAAGTTCAACTCTCTCAACGAGCTGGTGGATTTCTACAGGACAACCACTATTGCCAAAAATGAGCAGATCTTCCTCCGGGATGAGGACCAGACCCAGGAGGTACCATCAGGGGACGGGGCCATGGGGAACCTCAGTGCAGCCCAGCACCTCTCCCCCCATCCACCCTTACCCTTGACTTTCCTCCAGGTGAGAAGACCCAGATTCGTGCAAGCTCAGTGCAACTTCTCAGCCCAGGAGGGCTCCCTACTGCCCTTCCTCCGCGGGGACATCATCGAGGTCCTGGACTGTCCTGATCCCAACTGGTGGCAGGGGAAGATCTACGGGCGTGTTGGCCTCTTCCCTCGCAACTACGTCCACCCCATCCGCAAGTGAGAGACCCCCACGGGCCAGGGGGGGCCCAGCCCTGTGCCCCCCACTCACCAGAGCTGCCTTGTGTGGACAGCACATCCCTCCGTCCCCACAGATGGTGCCAGTCTCCATGCCAGGCTGCTGATGCACAAGGTCCCAGTGCCTTGTGGAGGATAGAGACCAGGCTGGGGGTGATTCCCATCCAGGGCTGCCCAGCTCTGGGACCCCAAAACATCATCCGTGGCTCTCCCTGCTCCCCTGATCCAGGAGACCCCCCAGCCCAGGCATCACCTCTCACTGTGGGCTGGTGCTCCTGAAGAGGGAGCACAGAGCATTGAACCAGGGCTATAAAAACTTTCCAGAGCCACAGCCCTACAAGGTGGCAGCAATGGAAGGATGGAGCAAGTGTGCCCCAAAACTTTGCTCCTCTCCAGACCCTGTCAGAGAATTCCCAGCTCCAGGGAGGGCTGTGGGTGGTCAGGAAGCAGCTGCATAATGCCATGGGGGGGTGCTGGGCCTTGAGGGGCTGAAAAAGGTTGATCCAGGAGGATTCAGTCCTGAAGGTGCTGTTCATAGCTGCAAATTGTAGCCTTTAAGAGTATTATTTTTATTCAGAGCTTCAAATGTGTTTGAGACACACCCTGGAGCATGACCACTTCTTTTCCACCACTCTGGGAGCCACATGTGTGCCTGTTGCTTCACCGTGGTTTTACATCCCCTGCAGCCCTCATTCCCTCACCCCAATACCCCAGACCACCCCTGGGGACTTGCTGCCCTCACAAATGCCCCTCACACCTCACAGCCCCCCAAGATTCACTTAAGGTGTACAGAGCTAAAAATGCCCCGCTCACTGCACCAATGGACTTAACCAACCCACGTCCCAAATGTGACAAATCAAAACTGTCACCCAAGTCCCCATTTCTCCCTACTTCCCAGTACCTTCTTCCCCCCCTCAGGGGGCTGGCAGGCTGCTAGGCAAAATAGGCATAGCAGAAAATATTGACACACATCAGGACGAGGGCGTTGATGCCACAGACCCGGGCCCAGAAGGGGGGTTCCATGGTGTCCCTGCGGGCCATGTCTGGGGGTCCCTTGGCCTTTGACAGCTGCTGGGTTCCAGGGGCATCTGAGCAGGAACCTGGCACAGGAAGACAGTGAGTGTTGCAGACAGGGGGCTGCAGAGACCCCCACGGGTGGCAAGGCTCTGAGGAAACTGAAGAATAGGGCATCCATGCTGCCCTGCTGCTTGTTAGAGGGGGAGTGCAAAGGGGCAAGGGGGTGCCTCCCCTGTCAGAGACCCCAAAGGACACACTCACCATTGGGGAGTCCCTGGGATGTGCCATCCACAGATATTTGGGGGGATTCCTGCGAGAGGGTCCACCAGGTGAGATCCTTTAGCTGGAAACCAGGGCAAGATTTGGTGAGAAATCCTCCCCAGGCCAGACCCCCCCACACCATGGAGACCCCTCGGCCAAGCTCAGGGTGCAGTTGGGTGACACCAGTGTCTCTGGCCAAGAAGGTCCAGTGGGTGGACACAGCCATGGGGGCCAGAGTGAAGGGCCTGGGGTGCCCTGCTCACCTGGGTTGAGGGGGGTGGGGAGGTCATCAGGCTGCCCCCCACCACGATGGCACCCGTGGCAGTGCAGAGAAGAACAGCAAAGTGCAGGTAGTGGATGTCAGTGAGCAGCCAGGGACGCTGGTCAGGGACCCCACAGCGGGGTGGGGGATGCACCAGCTCCAGCCCCATCCTGGCCAGCCCCAGCACCAGCCCCAGCATCAGGCCCCAGAAAGCTCCCTGCAAAGCAAAGGTGCAAGGAAGAGGACAGTCACCCAATGGGGGGACTAAAAACCCTGGGGAGCTGCTGCCTCCAGCCAGCCCTGGGAGAGGATCAAGCAGTCACCGGCTGTAGGGACAGGACCCTGCATCCCATCTGGCCCAGATCTGCACCCCCTCCACAGGGGTGTACCCTGCCAGCCATGCCACACTTGGTGGCCATGCATGGTGGCACCTGCCTCCTCCTCCTCTTCACACCAGCCGCCCACCAGCTCCCTGGGGAAACATCAACCAGCCTCAGCTGGCATCACTCCATGTCCCCAAGTCATCCCCAGGGCCACCCCAGGAGTGTACCTGCTCGGTGGCTCGAGGCCAGAAGACAGCCAGGATGAAGACAGCAGTGACAGGAGGAGCCAGGTAGCTGGTAACAGCCTGGATGTAGACATAGAGCTGGCCACCACTGGAGCTCTGCAGGATGGGGATCCAGACCACGCTGAGGGCCACCAGCACCACCGTGACCACCCTGTGAGTGGCAGCAAAGGGGTGCAGGGTGATCCCACCCACACCTCCTTGCACCCACAGCATCACCAGGGTTGGGTCCCAGCACCAGCACAGAAGAGCTGGACAGGGGGGTCAGTGGGAGGATGCTCATCACTGGGTGACAGCCCCAGAGCCACCAGTGCTGGCTCCATCCCACGGAGGCAAGATCTCCCCAGACTCCTGCCCAGCCTTGGGGCTGCTCAGTTGGATGCCCACATGGGGAAACATCAGGCAGTGAGCACTTTTGATATGAAAAGTCCCCACTGAAGGAGATGGATGCTCTGGCCAGATTTGGGTGATGTTCTCAGTACCCCTGTATCCTGCCAAAGCACCCAGCTGAGAGCCAAGGGGCTGAGCTGTCCTGTGCTCAGCTCCTCCCAGGACAGGCTGTAATGGAGAGGTGCATCTGTCCCCCACCATCACCCCAGCCCCATCCTCCACCAAATTACCCTCCTCCGAAGCAGGAGGCAATGGCCAGACCCCAGAGTCTTGGGTCCAATCAGAGCAGTCAGGCTGGGCAGGACATGTCCCGAAATCTGCTGTATTTATAGCCCAGCCCAGCTTGTTTTCAGCTTCACAAAATTACCTACATCTCCTTCTACTCATCTCAAAAAGCAGAAGTAGGGGAAAATAAAATAAAGCAATTAAATAAAGCAATTAAAGCATCTAGATGGAGTCCCCCCTGCCTGGCCGGTGTGCTGGGAAGAGGAAGCAGCTCGAGCATAAAATTCACACCCTGACCCAAGGGGTGGGAGAAAACCCTGCGTTTGGTACGTCCTTAAGCCACAGATGATGCTGAAAGGTCATGGGGGAAATGGAGGAGTACCCGGGTGTGGGGGTGAGCTGGGGGTGCTGGGCGGCTGTGGCCCCTCCACAGGTCGGGATCCGGGCAGGGATGGAGGGCAGAGCTGTGGGGGGCTCAGGGGGGATTTGGGGAGCACTGAGTGCCCCGACCACCCTGCACGGACCGTGCATCAAACACCAGCGGGGATTTCCAGCAGGGCCACACGGAGCTTAAACACCCAGGTCCAGGAACTGGCAGGTCCCTTGGGTCCCACGGGCAATCCCCTTCCTTCCCACGGGCAATCCCCTTCCTTCCCACGGGCAATCCCCTTCCTTCCCACGGGCAATTCCCTTCCTTCCCACGGGCAATTCCCTTCCCTCCCCGCTCTGAGCCGGACGGGGCAGCGGGGGTGGGGACGGGGGAGCTGGGACCCCTGACGGCTGCTCAGAAACAACCCCTAGCCGCGTGTTCCCGTACAGGCAGGAAGGAAAACCTCAAAGTTGCACCTTAATCAGCTTTTTTTGTTGTTGTTGCTGTTTCCCCCCCCCCTGCAGAAGGCGGCTCCTGT